AGGTCTAACCCACATATAACAATTTTCCATTTTAGAAACGGCTACCGTAGTTTGTAGTAGATACCCGAGGATTTGCGAACAAGGAAGACATAAATTTCAAAAATTATAATCCTTTGAATTCAAAGATCAATTATGGGCTGCATACTTATGATGGTGTTGCCGGTAGTTGTTCCGGCTCTTCAAGTTTTTGAACTTAGCTATAGATTTCAAAACTTATAATCTTTTTTAATTCCAAAAACACTTGGGGCTCGTTTGGATCCCTAGATTTTTCAATCTTGGAATTGAGATTTAATAGAATTGATATTTTCTGGAATCTGGTGTTTGTATTTGGATCGCATCACATAGAAATCAAGAAAATGCAAATTCTCTATTTGGATTGCTTGGAATATCTTTTTTTAGGAAATGTAAATCCTTTCTCTCTCACTCTAAAAATCTCAAGATAGTTTCTCTCTCTAAAATTTTAATATATTCTCTTTCAAAAACTTAAAATTTTAAATAGCCTCTCTTTAAAAATTGAGATACTTTTAAAATTTGAGATAACTTCTCTTTATAAATTTTTTGAAATAGTTTCTCTCTAAATAATTTCATGTAGTTTCTCTCTCTAAAATATGATGCAGTTTTTCTCTCTAAAACTTTAACTTACATTCTCTATCTAAAACATAAAATTTGAGATGTTTTTTTTCTAAAAACTTTAAAATAGCTTTTCTCTCTAAAAAATTTTAAGTACATTCTCACTCTAAAATTTAATATAGTTATTCTCTCTAAAATTTTAAGATACTTTTTCTCTCTAAAACATTAATTTTTAGATATTTCTCTCTTTAAAATTTTCAAGTAGTTTATCTCTCTAAAATTTTAATACATTTTATCTCTCTAAAACTTAAAAGTTGAGATAGTTTCTCTATCTAAATTTTTTTAAATAGTTTCGCTCAAAAAATTTAGGTACTTTGTGTATCTAAAATTTGATATAGTTTATCTATCTAAAGTTTTAATATATTTTCACTCTCTAAGTCTTAAAATTTGATATAGTTTCTCTCTAAAACTTTTCAAGTTGTTTCTCTATTTAAAATTTTATACAATTTTTAATCTCTAAAATTTTAATATGTTCTCTCTCTAAAACTAAAACTTCAAATTTGAGATAATTTTTTTCTCTAAATGTTTTGAGATATTTCTCTCTAAAAAATTTTAAGTAATTCCACTCTAAAATTTAATGTAGTTCTCTCTCTAAAATTTTAAGATAATCTCTCTCTAAAACTTAATATTTGAGATAGTTTTTCTCTCTCTCAAAATTTGAGATAATTTGTCTCTCTAAAAAAATTTATGTATTTTTTCTCTCTAAAGCAATTTATATGCTTTCTCTCTATAAAATTTGATATAATTTCCCTCAAAAAATTTAATAATTTTTCTCTCTCTAAAATTTGATATAGTTTATCTGTCTAAAATTTTAATATTTTTTTTGTTTTTTAGCAACAAAATGGGTCATTTTCATAAACTGTCAATTTCACCTATATTGGTGGAATTGAAATTTCTAAAATTTAGACTTTAAATGAGCATCTAGGAATCTCACAAAAATCTCAATTCCAACTGATATCTCAATTCTAAGTGAACCAAACATGATTTACCCAGCTTTTCCAAGAAAAGTGATTCCAAGAAATCTGAATCCAAGGAACCATACAAGCCCTTACGGGCATGTTTTGATGTCTTAGGGGCGTTCGGATACATGGAAAATGATTGTCTAAAAAATATATTCCCTTTCAAATATATTTATTGAGAAAAGCATTTCCTATAAAATATATTTTCGCCGTTTGGATGGTAGTATGCTACATGGATGCATTATATTTGAATGCCTTTTTGTTTTCCTTTTTGTTGTTTTATTTGTTTGTTAAACAATTTTAATTTTAATATTTATTATAATCTAAAATTTTTATTAAATTTTATATAGTTTTTCCTTATAAAACTTTTGATATACTTTCTTTCACTCTAAATAATTTTACCTAGTTTCTCTCTTTAAAATTTGATATAGTTTCTCTTTTTAAATTTTAAGATACTTTCACTTTCTAAAACTTAAAATTTGAGATAATTTCCCTTTAAAAATTATGAGAAAATTTCTTTATCTAAAATGTATTTTCTCTCTCTAAAATTTTAAGATAAACATGAGATAGTTTGTCTTTCTAAAAATTTTCAAGTAGTTTATCTAAATTTGATATAATCTCCCTCTAAAATTTACGATACATACTCTATCTGAAATTTAAAATTTGACATAGTTTCTCTCTCCGTAAAAATTTAAAGATAGTTTCTCTCTCTAAAAAGTAAAATTTTGTATAGTTTCCCTATTTAAATTTTCAGTTAGTTTCTCTCTCTAAAAATTTTGAAATATTTTCTCTCTCTAAGAATTTTTCAGTACTTTCTTTCTCTAAAATTTGATATAGTTTCACATCAATGAATGGCGAGTGCCTAATTAATGATGAAATTTATTATCGTTTCTATCTCTAAAATTTGATATTGTTTCTCTATCTACAATTTTAAGAAACTTTTTCTCTAAACTTAATTTGGACCTCTCTAAAACTTTTCAAGTACTCTATCTTTCTTTAAAATTTAAAAATTGAGATAGTTTATCTCTCTAAAATTTGATATAATTTTAATCTCTAAAATTTTTAGATAATTTCCCTTTTTAAAATTTAAAATTTGAGATTGTTTCTCTCTCTAAAAATTTTGAGATAATTTCTCTCTAAAAATGTTAATGTACTCTCTCTCTCTAAAACTATAAATTTGTGATAGTTTCTCTATCTAAAAGTTTTGAGATAGTTTCCATCTCTAGAACATAAAATTTAGGATATATTCTCTCTCTAAAATTATTGAGATAGTTCTGCTCTCTAAAAAAGGTGTGACAATTTCTCTGTCTAAAATTTTCAAGTACTTTTTCTATTTAAAACTTAAAATTTGTGATAGTTTCCCTCTCTAAATTTTTGAGCAAGTTTTGCTTGCTAAAAATTAAAATTTAAGATAGTTTCTCTCTAAAAATTTTAATATTGTTTATGTGTCTAAAAATTAGATACTTTCTCTCGAAGGCTTTAATTTCAGATAGTTTTTCTCAAGACAAATTTTTTAGATAGTCTCTCTTTAGAAATTTTAGGTACTTTCTCTCTCTTACATCTTATATTGTTTCTCTCTCTAAAATTTTAGAATACGTTCTCTCTCTAAAACATAAAATTTTAAATAGTTCTCTTTGTAAAAAATTTGAAATAGTTTTTCTCTAAAAATATTTATATAGTTTCTCCCTTTAAAATTAGGCATATTTTCTATCGCTAAAATTTTAAGATACTGTCTCTTTCTAAAACTCAAAATTTGAAATACTTTCATTCCCTTTTATGGTGGTCTTTTGACATAATTAATTGCATTTTATAAAGTGGATGTTTTAATAAGAGGGAAATCTGGTTAGAAATGAATTTCTAATGGTAAAGCCAATGATTTAGATTTCCTTATTTTGGGTTTGAAACGAGGAAAATAATTTATAACATAAATACTTTTTTGTCCTAAAATTCCTATTCAAATGCTAGATATGTGTCATCTTCGTCCAAAAACCTTTCTGAAAATGTATTTCAAGATATCCAAACGGCAAAATTCATGAAAATCTTCCGGTAAGATATAATCAGTGCCAAGGAAAACAAATGCCTGGATTCGCAAAGTCGGTGAGCTATTTTGCATTACAACTTGATCATGGTTACAAAATTATTCTATAAGTTTGGAATATTAGGGGTGTCGATTGGTTCAGGTGGACCTGTGGACCGATCCGATTTCTATCTGGGCTTTGGGTAGGGTCCAAGTCAATAAATATGGACCTGACAGTTGTCTGGTCTAGCTAGGACCTTGGTCGGCTTTGACTCCGGCCCAACCTATTTCTATATATAAACTTATATTTTGTATTGAGATTAACCCATTAGTTTATATAAACATATGAATCCAACGGTTCATATTAAATCTGAGCCGATTTGATGATTACGATTTCGTGTTTGAATTTAAATTTAGAAAAAATCCTCTTTATCTCTTTTAAATACAAAAAATGACAAATGCATTTGTGCTTTATAAAAAAAATCATATATTATGAGATTATTTATTTTTATTACAAAAAAAATCACAATTGCTACCCGCTATTCGATGTGACTTAGGGTTAGAGTAAGGCTGGGGCCTTGAAAAGTAAAGCTGCACCTTGTAATTTGCTAGAAAGTGAAACCCCGGTTTGGCACTGAAGAATTGCATGATAGCCTCAAAATTTATTTATTTCTACCCCGAGTACGAAATTTGAAGGCTTCCAAAACATACAGATTCGTATTCACTTAAAAGAGATGGGGTGAATAATATACGACGGGTTTAAAATTATTATTTTTTATTTTATATTCACAATTGTGGAAGTCCAGAGTGATGGTTTTTATCACCTTTTTAAGGCTGAATTTTGACCAGGAGTAGAATATCTATTGACTCACTTGGATAAAACCTCACCCATAATTAATTTTAGGACCCCAATTTTTTTGGGATATAGCCAGTCCCCTTCAACCTATAGATAACCTCATTAGGAAACAAATAAAATAAAAAAAATCCTACATTTACCTTCTATACACTTGGAAAAAAAATTCTACTTAGACTTATCTAAATCACATTAAAAAAGCAATGAAAAATGGATTTTGAAAAAAATCAATTTGTGATTGGGATATTTCAGATAATAATCTAAAAATATGGAAAAATATAAAAATTAATATTAGGGGCCAAAATACTTTCCAAACTTAACTACAACGATAGAAAAATAAAAAAATTATTACAAATAAAATTTTGATTTTTATTGAATTTTTTTAATATTTTATTTTTTTAATATCCGTGATACTGGGCCCGTGGCGAGTCCTTGGGCAGTACGAGTCAGCTCGGTCGAGTAATAAAAAAATGAGGTAAAACTTTTGGCTTACAAGACAAAGAGCATCACACTTCATCAGACTCTTCTGAATCTCCCCTATTGAATTCTCATCTCTCCCTTGTCATCTTCCCCACTCTAACTATGGTAAAACCGTAAAACAATACGAATCAAATCGTACAAACAAATCCACTCTGGGGATCTGAGTGACATGACTTCATCTCAAAAACTACAAACCCTCTCTCTCTTTCTCTCTCTAGATTCTATACATTTGGTTGGGTCTCTTTCATTCTGTTTCATTCTGCTCCTCACCTTCCTTGGCTCTTAGCCTCTTTTAGCAATTGCAACATGTTCCAATTCCCTGAAATCCCTGACTGTGTTCTTCCAAATAAACCCACCTTAATTCCCCCTCTCTCTCCGACTCCAAATCACTCTCTCTATCTCTCGAACCTCGATGATCAGAAATTCCTTCGATTCTCGATCAAATATCTCCTTCTTTATCGGAAATCTCCTGATGTTGGGTCACTCAAACGCTCTCTCTCTGTAGCTTTAGTGGGTTATTACCCACTTGCAGGGAGGTTGAGAGTGAGCCCTGTGAATGAGGAGAAGCTTGAGGTTGATTGCAATGGAGAGGGAGCGCTTTTCGCAGAGGCTGTTTTGGACTTGACAGTTGAGGAGTTTAAGGGGATATGTGAGAAACCCAACAAGTCATGGAGGAAGCTCTTGTATAGGACTGAGGGGCAGAGCTTTTTGAGCATACCTCCTCTTGTAGTTCAGGTATTCTCTCTCTCTTTCTCTCTCTACAACTATGATAGGAGTAAAATCAAGAGAAAATGCCTCTTCATATTATTTCTTTGTTTCTGTTTTTTTCTCATCTTTTTTTTTCAAGCCTTTCTGAACTTATTTCATTTTAGGAACACTCTGTTTATCTGTCATCTCTCTGTTTTCCTGCAACCAGACGTGTGGGGTTTGTAAATTACATCCATTATTTTATTTCCTTCTCTCTAACATATGTATCTATTTGTGCAACAATGAAACAAAATCTGAGATTTTGTAAATTCATATGTTTTTATTAGTGTTTATCTCTGAAATTTAAGAACTCTTTCTATTATATTTTCCATATAAGAATGGGAGATTAATTTCATTGTGATATGTTATAAAAGTTATTTGCAAAGTTTAAAGTTATTTAGCTTTTAATGGACGCTTTGGTATCATTTCTCAATTCGTAATCATTTGGCCCAGTTTTTTCGTCTGTTGTGGCATATACTTTGTAGTTATAATACAAATATTTTTCACCTAAATTTTTTGTTGATGTATTTTGCTATAGTGTTTTTTGTTTTTCTTCTTTCCATATTTAAATTTGAGTTTGGGTTTTTGTTTGCTTTTTTTCTGTTTTCCCTTAGAAAGGTCAAATAGTTACCAAGGGTGAACCAGGAATTAGCCATCTTTGGAGGGTTATGCTTTGGTATTATCAGGTTCTGTAGGCAGAAGTCAGATTGCGTTTGATAGAAGGGGAAGGGGATTTTGGAATCGAAAAAGCTTATATAGAGCCGAGGTTCTAAACAATGTAATTAGAACTCACATAAACATGTTACTAGAAGGGGTTTTATTGATGTTCAAATATCTCAAATTCATCATCTCGACATCAAGATGCATGGATATGAGAAAAAATGGATTTCAAGATCTGAAAATAGTGGATCTTGTAATGAATTTTTTTGACCGTCAATTTTTAAGATTTTCAACTTTTCATAGATATGTTTGATCCACACTATTTTTGAAGCTTTAAATTTTATAATTATAGATAAAACTAAACTTTAAGGCTCTCACAAAAATATCCAGTATGGAAACGATATTTCTCGATACTATTTGAAGGTCCGCTCTACTTTGATTGTTTAGAGCCTCGACTCTATACGAATTGCACCCGTTCAATATTTGTAAGTTACAATATTTCGAAAATATCGTAATTTCAATATATTTGTTTCTGCGTAGCCTTAAAGAAAAATAACGATGGACAATATGTAACATGAACTTATTATATCTCCACGATACTTTCTCTTAAGTGGCACATTTATTGTATTGAATTTGTAAGGTAAAACCAATTAAAAAAAGAGGTTTCGAAAGTGTAATACATGAGTGAGCATTTTTAATTAGAAGTGCTTGAAAGTTTGTTAAAGCAGAAATGAAGAATCCAAAAAGAACTAGGCACGTTTTAGTTTTTTTTTTTTTTTTTTGACAAATCTTCGCATGGACGACTATATGGAAAAATTAATTTTGTCGTTGCCTTTTCACAAATGAGAAAAAATGGACGCCGCTGTTCAAAAATTAGCAATGGTATTAGATTCGGTTCGCTTTGGCTAAATAGATGCCAACCGCTTCCGATATGCCTTGATATGCTCTAGGCCGCTTCGACCTAGCCTTTTCGACTGTTGCATAAAATTGGTTATTTATTTTTATATTAATTTTTTTTTAATAATTTTCTTTTAATATTTTTATTTATAGCAAAATTTTAAAAATAATCCTAAGTCTTTCTCCAGATCTGCTGTGCTTCATTTTTCCGCCTATACTGAAAAATACTACAAAACAAATCTAATGACATAGAAAATAGTAGTGATAAATGGGTAGGGGACATTTCGTTTATAGACATGTGGAGTACACTTGGGAAAGTTCCCATTATTGTCAGCAAGTTCATGAAACAGTACATTTTGGAAATACAAACCTCATCTCTTTGGATCAATGGAAATGTCTTAGAGAGAGAGAGAGAGAGAGAGACTACTTTTTCCTATTTTCATGTAACCTCTTTCTCTTAACTATATTCTTGTTCTTTTCTTTTCATTAACAGGTAACCCATTTGAAGTGTGGAGGATCGATCCTATGCCTGGGCATATGTCACTGCCTGTGTGATGGCATTGGAAGCGCACAGTTCCTCCATGCATGGGCTGATATTTGCAAACATCCTAACCAGACCCCCTCATCAAACCCATGTTGGGAAAGACACTTACTAAAGCCTAGAAACCCCTTAAAAATTGAATACCCACACATAGAATTCACCCAAACCCAGTACCAACATGACCTAACCACCCCTTTTGATCTAGACCAAGTCCTAAAGCCAGAAACCCTAGTACCCACCTCTCACACTTTCCACCATGATGACATTTTCTCTCTAAAACAACTGTGCAACCTCTCTCTAAAATGCACCTCTTTCGAGGTATTATCAGCTCATGTGTGGAGCTCATGGGCCAAAGCAATGTGCCCACCTTCTCACCTCAAGATAAAGCTTCTTTTCAGTGTAAATATAAGGAAAACAATGAGACCAAATCTTCCTCAGGGGTATTATGGAAATGGATTTGTTCTTGGATGTGCTGAAACCACAGTGAAAGAGTTAGTGCATGGGAATTTATCACACATAGTGAGGCTCATTCAAAGGGCTAAATCAAGGTTAACAGATGATTATGTAAAGTCAATGGTGGATTATCTCGGGGAGAATCGCGTTAAGCCTGATTTAAGCCTGAGTTTGGTGATTTCTCAGTGGACTAGATTGGGAATGGAGAGAGTTGATTTTGGAGAGGGCATGGCTTTATTCATGGGTCCTCTTTGTAGTGAGATTTATTGCATCTTTTTTCCTGTGTATGGGGATTCATGTGGTGTCACAGTGTTGATGTCAGTTCCTGAAAGTGGGGTTGAGAGCTTTGGTTATTGGATGAAGAATTTTAGAGAGAGAGAAATGGAAGGAGAGGGAAAGAAGAAGAGTGACATATTTATGCCTGCAACTTGTACTGCACATGAGTGTCACCAGATTTGTGCACATATGGCTCCCCCATTAGATTTTGCTACGACATAAGGATTTAGAGGATGAAGAGAGAGAGAGTGTACCAGTGTTTGTAGCTTGAACTACTGATGGTTTTCCCGGGTATCTTGTATTCTATGAATCACGTGCTATCATGAATAAATAGTAGCCTCTAATGATTTTCTTTCTCAATGTTAATATTGGTCTCCAATAACCATGATTTCTTGGCTATGCCAAAAGACATTCTACTCCTGCCCGAGTAGAATGTCCATTTACTCTCTTCGGTATAAGCTTTAGGATGTTAAATTTTGGGGATGTAATCTCTTCAATTCATAGTTTATTAATCTCAATAAAAAAAAAATCATAATTGTATCTTCTATGTACTTGAACAAAAAAAATGTCTAGAAATTGAATACATCTAATTTTTAAATGGTGAGATCTAAGTATTATAAAACTTAAATTTTAATTCTTTGTTTTTTAAAATAATCATCTAATAATTCTTAAATGGTCCCCAAAAATTTAGATCGTGAAAATCCTTCTAAATAGGTCTCTCGACTGAGGCGTAGAAATAAATTATGCTCTCGAGGGAGCATACTGTATATTCTGATTTGCTATTGACAATAGATCTCTCTCTCCCTCTTGCTTACCCAGTTGATTTTGCTAAATCACAAAATTTCATAGTTTGGAGATATGTCAATCGACATTGGAATCCATAGGTTGGGATCCGATTAGAAAAGTAACGGAAACAGTTCCCCCGCTGAATAAGGAATTGGCCCGTCATTGATATGATTGCCCTTAAGAGAATTTGGTGATTTTATTTGTCGATTGCCAAGATTACCGATTCCATATGAATGCTAGTTTATTGAACTTTTAATTTTTGAATTTTTTTAACTCGACTAAATCTTTCCCATAGGGCTTTTGAATGACGGAGTAAATGTACCCTGTGCTCTCAGCAAAAGTATACCAACGTGCCCCAATCTACTAATATAACTATTTGTACTAGTGCAGTTAAAGGGCTGGTGTAGGCCCAGCGAGTTCTATTCCGAGCTAGACGAAACAATGCATCGTAGGATTGGTCAAATTTTTAGGGAAATTACAAAAAATCCCCAAAACAACACTTTTTATGTAACTTATCCCCAACTTAATTTTTTCTCACAGTTTTTTTATCAAAACAAACTTTCTATGCAAATACCCCCAAGGAAAAACGTTCATTTTTTAGATGGAAAATACCCCTCCCATACACTTTGAAGTTGACTTTTTGACCGTAGTAGCACATTGTCAGTGCGCATCATCACATCGCCAGATTACACAAGTGCCGAACCGCCTTAAAACAACTACCGGACTGAAACTCAATATTATCGGACCGTCCTTTACTTAGTACCAGAGGCCTAGAATACAGTAACATCTATTGTCAGACTTCCCTTTTTAACTGTCGGACAGCCCTTTGGAACTACCGGACCACACTTTAATTAGTGCCGAAGCGCTACTGCCGAACCGCACTTTACATAGTGCCAGAACCCTACTGTCGTACCGCCCTTTGCAACTCCCGAAGTGCCGGAGCGCTATTGTCGGACCACACTTTACGTAGTGTCAGAGCCCTACTGTCAGACTGCCCTTTACAACTGCTGGACACACTTTAATCAGTGCCAGAGCTCTACTACCGGACCGCACTTTATAGAATGCCAGAGCCTTACTGTTGGACAACACATTACACAGTGCCGGAGCCCTACTACCAGACCGCACTTTACACAGTGCTGGAGCCCTACTGCCGGACCACAATTTACATAGTGCTGGAGCCTTACTACTGGACCGCACTTTACACAACACTGGAGCCCTACTGCCTAACCGCACTTTACACAGTGCCGAAGCCCTAATGCCGGATCACATTTTACACAGTGCCGGACCCCTACTGCTGGACCGCACTTACATAATGCAGGAGCCCTTATTTTGGTGGGATAGAGGAGAGAGGCGTAGATAATGTAAAAGTAAAGGAGGGTAGTTTAGGCATTTTTTTATTTTTTATTTGGTTGGGAGTAATGAAAGTGTATTTTGGGGGAAAAAATGGGAAGAAAAGTTAGATTGGGTGTAAGTTGCATAGAAAGTGTAGTCTTGGGGTTTTTTTTTTAAATTTCTCAAAATTTTAGTTTGGTATGCAAAACCAATGCCCTAAATTCTTGATAATGACGCTTGAGCCCGGCTCGAATAAATCATCAGGTTGGGCTACGTCGGGGCCTATATAAACATGAAAGTAAATATTTGATAAGATTTATACCGTAAGATCATTCACTTTTCATGCAAAAAAGTCCCAATTATTAGCTATTGGATGTAGGGAGATTGAATTTCGACGTAGTATTTGAGGATGAGGAATTTTGTTTTGGATGCCTACTCAATATCACATAATCAGTCACCCAATTTTACATTTAATAATCAATAATAATTGTGACCTCCTTGTATAAAAAATGAATGATCTTATTATATAAATTTTCATATTTAATATATGTAATGTTAAAGAAAATTTTGATTGGCTTAGGCCCATGCAAAGCCAATATTAGCCCTGAGCCACACAAAACTATCTTGGGCCTATCAGGCCCGGCTGACGACTGTGCCTACAGACCAAAACATATAGCCCGTTAAAAAGCCCGCTTCCCGCGCTGGCCCTCTTAACAGCCCCAATAGGGCAGGCTGGCCTTGGCCCAAGCCTATTGCTCCCCTGTCGGCCTGGCCATGACCGAGCTAAAGAGGCCCTAGCCTAGGCCTTATCCGAGCCCTACCTGAGCCAAGCCAGGCCGGGTGGCACTGGTCTATATAAAAAAGACGAATAAATCAAGGAAAAAGTAATAAAAAAAACAGGGCTAGTCGAGCTGGCCATTGCATGGCCCCAGCCCAACCCAGCCCTGCCATCAGGGCCTAGTGGCCTGGCCCTCATGCCATATTTTGATATTTTGTGGCCTAAACCCTATTTGTTTAGTACGGAAAGACCGGCGTGGCCACCCAACCCATTGCCACCTGTAAGCCCCAATTGCTACCATTATGGCTCTCTCTGTCACGAGGCCACCCATCACATTGCCACCACCCCTAATCCCCAATTGCTACCATTATGTCTATCTTTGTCACGCGCTAACTCTCTCATTCATAAAGATTGGTTTGTATATTTTATCGTTGCTTTCTTTTGTTGACTATTTTGCGCTCTCCCTCAGTCTCTCTGACCCATACCCACTGACGAATGCATGCACAGCCACAAGTCATGTTCTTCCAATCGTAACGACCCAAATCCGAACCTCATTAAATATTCGAGTTTTAAAGCTAAAATCAGTACCTGTCCAAAAAATTAGCAAATTAAATATATTTTAATTTAGAATAATACCACATATATTTTAATCTTTTAATTCAATATATCAATAATACCATATATATATATATTTTAAGTCTACAAAAATAATAGCTATTTTACAACCTATTATCTACTACCCGTACCTACTTTTACAAGTATTTTACTATTATTAGTTTATAGT